GGTACCGCGGGGGGGCCGGTACCGCGGGGGGTGGCGGGGACCCCCGTCCCGCGGCGGGCACCGGGGGCGCGTTCGTGCCGCGGCGCCTCGGGGGGGCTCTGGGGCCGGGGATGAGGAGCGGGCGGCCGCGCTGGGGGCAGCCCGGGATGGGGGATCCCGGCCCGCCGCTCTCGCAGCGCCGCGTGTGGGGARCAGCCCGGGCTGGGGGGGACACCCCCAACCCCCGGGAACGGGCTCAGCCCCGGGCACAGGCCCGGCGTCCCGGCCCCGGGGGGCCCCGTCTTCAGCCAGCGCCTTTCCCTGCGCTTCCCGACGCCGGGAAGCGACCGAAGCCGCTGCTTCCAACCCGGGTGCGCCCGTGGCAGTCGGGAAACCGAGTACCAGCRCATCCCTTGGGATAAAACCACCCGGCTGCTTGGAGAGATTATTTCTTAATTCGCTTCTTGTGCTCTTGTATTGCTGTGCGCGCTTAGTGCCCTGCAATGGGAGCTGAGGTGCAAACTGGCCTCTGCGTCTTGAGCAGCACCTTATTGGAGGGAGTTGTGCGGCCAGCCGTGGGTTTGGGGATGGGTTTTTCCGGGACGGGTAAATAGCAGCGCTAGAATAACTGAGGTCTCGAAAGAGATGCCAGGTAAGTCGCTCGGACTAGGCAGGCCCTGGGTTTGCTTAGGCCTGACATAAAGAAAACACTTGTTCTGGGTTTTATGGGTTTGCAGTCCCCTGYGTGCATCAGCAGGAGCTGATCGGTAACAGCCAAACCCGGGACTACGAAAACTCACTCTCATTTCTTATTCTCCATCTATAGGAAGGTTTTTCTTTGTACTTTTTCCCTATCGATTCACTTTGGGCACTCAAGTGCAATGAGAATATCTGTTCCTATTTAACTATTTTTTTTTCACGTTTACATCTGAGGTTGTTTAAGGGAGGATGGGTTTGAAGGCCCACATACGCCAGTAGGTGGCATAGGGAAAAAAAAGTCATCTTTTTTGTTAAAGAAGCTGTTTCAGTTGGGTTCTGGATCTGCTTTCTGCTCCAGTACTGGCACGCTGCAGGGAAATGCTTCKCAGACAGCAGCTTCTGCGCTTTCTAGGCAGCTTCCTGGGATGAGAATATTGGAATAACATGGGCAGTAGTGGTCATGCTGACATTGCTTCTCGTCGGTGTTTTATTTTGACCTGTCGGTGTGTGACTAGCCCATCTTGTGGGGTTCCATGAAGGGGTTGCTGTGATAAGCTCTGTTCACTGCAGGATCCCACCAGATACTCCACCCACGAGAAAGCAGGAGTCGTTTCCCTGTATCCGGCAATCCCACAGATATCCCCCTGCTTCCTTGTGCCCCTAATCCCAAATAACACACAGTCGCAGCTCCTTTTTTTAATCTTTAACAGGTGGCTCCCCGGGGCTTTGGCAGCTGTTTTTATCTGTTAATGGACAATAAGGCGCTGCTCTTCATAGCTGAGGTGGCGCTGGGCTCTGCAAACACACAGAGCAAACAGGGCTGCGGGACAAACGGGTCCTGGCACCGGGCACCTATGGGACTGTGCGTGTTCTCTGYGCGGCTGCGCTTGGCTCAGACACTGAACACCTACCTGCGATAGGCCTGGCTTAAAAACCGCACTGTTCCCACCGCCAGCTTAAACCCTGAGGAATATACGCAAATCACCTTAGATTCAGGTCACAGGACGTTAGCAGTGTGTCTGGAGAGTGCTTGAGGCTTTCCTTGTTAAACTGATGCAGAGGTTAAATATCCTAGTCAAATTTTATTTTATATTTTATTTTATATTTTATTTTATATTTTATTTT